GGGTTTAAACCTGCCACCTCTGGTATATGGGGCCAGCGCCCTACTCCTTTGAGCCATAGGCGCCACCCATTTTGTCACCCTTTGTAGAGTGCTGTGGTGTCACGGCTCATGGCAACCTCAAACCCTTGGGCTCAAGCAATCCTCTTGCCTCACCCTTCTAAGCATCTGGGACTACAGGTACCCACAACAACGCCCAACAAGTTATTTTTTTTTATTTATCTTGTTTAGAGATGGGGTCTGGCTCTTGCTCAGACCGCTCTTGAACTCCCGACCTCAAGCAACTCACCTGTCTCAGCCTCCCAGCGTGCTAGGATTACAGGCATGAGCCACCACGCCGGGCTTTTAATATCCTTAGAGTGTTCTTTGTGTGACTTAATATATTGTAATCAAGGGCAAATTTTCCACTTTTTGATTAAGTTCTGCTAGGATACATAACGCAGAGAGCCACTTTTGGAAACTACCTGGCCAGCTTTTTTATCATCCTGAAAGTGAAAGTTTGCTTTGGGGGTCTAAACATTGAATGTGTGCTCAGCCTTTGGCTGGCCTCGTGTCAGGATTCTCTGCAGCTTAGTCTGTGTGTATTCTGTGTGAAGTGAGTGCAACGTGGGGAGAGGGCATGCCGCAGATGCCAGAGGAGCTATGCAAGCTCGCTGAGGAGAGCATGCTTCACGCTTGTCAAGGGCTTCCTGATAGCAGACCTGGTGACACAGTAGCCTTTAGGCAGAGCTCCGCCGGATATGTAGGAAGTGCTGCTACAGGTTTTGTTGGGGGAATCTGAGCCATTTCTCTGTGGACAGCTGCACTTCAAAGTCTGTACGAGTCGCCCTTGAGTTTTGCATGGGCTGCCTGGGTGAGTATTTTCATTTTGATTTGTTTATAGTCTTGTTTTTCTTCCTTCTAAGTCATCATGGGTCTCTCTGGAAGTTTCGCAGGACTCCGTCGTTTTACACTGCCTGAAGTAGAACTCAAAGGATTCATCCTAATATACTTATAATTCAACTCTGCTTTTCTTTCTCTTTGCAGATTTTGTGGAAGTATAGTACTTTGTCATTATGAGATGTCGTCTCTCGGTGCCTCCTTTGTGCAAATTAAATTTGATGACTTGCAGTTTTTTGAAAACTGCGGTGGAGGAAGTTTTGGGAGTGTTTATCGAGCCAAATGGATATCACAGGACAAGGAGGTGGCTGTAAAGAAGCTACTCAAAATAGAGAAAGAGGTAAGGTCTTTCCCTGCTGTCAGAAATGGTCCTCATAAGCACTTATGTAAGCGTTTTCAGCCTGGAGTTGGAGGGTCACAGGGCTACCAGGGACCTAGCAAGCCCTTTGGAGCTGATCCAGGAGGCCATTTCCCAATTTCCATTCTGGGAGCCCCATAAATAGAAATTATTACAGTGTGTGCTTTACGGTTTAATTCTACTAGCGGTCATCTGAAGTGAGAGGATTTCTTTCCATGGCATCAAAGAGTGAATGTTCTCTGGGCTCTCCTGGAGGCGGAGGTGAGATTTCAGACCTCCTCTTCCTGGGGTTCAAGCTTTTCTCTTCCCTATGGCAGCCAAGAGGGGTCAGTAAAGAGTAACGTGTAGAGTTTTCATCCCCTTTCCGTTTTCTCTCCTTCAAGTTGTGGACTTAAGAAGTTGTCTTTGAAAAAATAAAAGATACTTTTTTCTATTGAAATAAGCAATACCAGCTTCTTAGACTTCACCTCTATTTAAGGCCAACAGTGATAGCCTTCATACAACAAAGAATTAATCTGTGTTAGCTGTCCTCCTGGTAAAAATCAGAAAAGGGTCTTGGCTTTCAGAGTCTGGGATTTATGCTAGTCCTAAATGAGCTCAGAGCCCAAGAATGACACAGCGTCGTCTCCACATTCAGTTTGATACCTTGAGAATAAAGCTAGTTGCAGAGCTGCCCCTCCGCAGGGGTCAGCTGCATTGATAACTTCAGTGGCTGTCCTCTGGAGCTTGCTTTGGTCATTTCTAGTTACGTCCTGTTTTGGCAAATTATTGTCCATTTCCATATCTTTTTAAAGTGAACTTTTCCATAATCTCCTGGAATGCTTTTCTTTTAATTAACTGCTGCCAGTGGACCATAGTAATTGATTAGAGAAGGAAACCACATGGCAACCCTGTGTGGGTTTCCTCCCATCAGTCCTGGGTGATTGTATGATCACCAGCTGTGTTTACCATTGGGGAAGCCAGTTCGGAAGAACTAAGATATTGCTGTTGGGCGGCACCTGGGGCTTAAAGAAGTAGGGCACCAGCTCCATATGCTGGAGGTGGTGGGTTCAAACCCGGTCTCGGCCTAAAACTGCAAAAAAAAAAAAAAAAGATATCGCTGCCTTGGGGGTATCAGTAGGCTTTGAAAAACATTAAAAAGCGAGAGCTTTTAAAGCCCAAATGTACACAAAACAGAAGGGTAGTAGGTTGAATTTGATCTTTTCCCTCCATTCTTGATCAACATAATTTTTTAATAGTACCTAAGTAATAAAACCATTTCTTTCTCTAGACCATTGGTTCTCAACCTTCCTAATGCCATGGCCCTTTAATACAGTTCCTGTGAGTCACGACCCACAGGTTGAGAACTGCTGCTCTAGACTGAACCTAGTTGTTTTAGCTAGTAAACTTGTTAAGTCCTTTATAGGCAAGCATTACTGTCCCTGTTTTATGGATTGGGAAATAGAGCTTTAAGAAATGTATTACTCTGCCTCGGGGAGGGGAAGGGAGGGCGCAAGTGACATCCAGAAGGGCCAGACTCCTGTTCTTTAGCTTTTAACTCTGAAACCTTGAATCAGCCAAGTAAGAAGAGAAAAGAAACCAGTTCTATCCATTTACAGTTAAAAAAGTTTATAAATATGCTAGTATTTTAAGCTTTAGGTTATGCAACATCAGTGCAGTGACTACATTCTTATATAACTGTCAGATGTGAGATAGACTACAAGATATGAGAGCGATATCAATAGGAAAACATTAATTGCAGCCCACTCCCTCTAATCCCTTCTATCCAAACATGATAACTTTTCTACTATTTTGAGAGAGCCAGGTAAATTACATAGGAAAGCACAGTGGGTGAAAGCAGGAATTGGAAACTGCCAAATCCTGCTTTTGTGTAGGTATTTAACCTGAATGAATACAGTTCAGTAATCGAATTGAGTGTAAGAGGATAACTCAAACTTGTAAGTAGGAAAAACAAAAACTCCACTTCAGCTTCACTAAGCATGGAGCTTAATCGGTGTATGTAAGTGATAGAGACATGGTAAATTATGCCAAGGCTTCCCCACTTCCCCACATGTAACTGAATCAGCATGAACCTAATATGTAAAAAGTTATGATGGGGGTTTGGCAGTTATTGGAAAGGAAATATGCATTTTGTGTGTAAATTATTGTACTTTATGAAATGTGTACTGGCTCACTGGACAGATGTTTTCTAAGTGGTAAGATAAAGATTATGATCTCTTTGGGATGTGCCTTTTGCTCAGTGGGTAGCGCGCTGGCCCTATATACTGAGGGTGGTAGGTTCAAACACAGCCCTGGCCAAATTACAACAAAAAATAGCCAGGCTTGTGGCGAGTGCCTGTAGTCCTGGCTACTCCGGAGGCTGAGGCAAGAAGAATTGCCTAAGCCCAGGAGTTGGAGGTTGCTGTGAGCTGTGACCCCACGGCACTCTATCAAGGGTAATAAAATGAAACTCTCTCTCTAATTAAAAAAAAGATAATGAGCTCTGTATTTTTTTCCAATTCATAGATCCAATCCTGTGTCACTTGGTTGTTTTTGGTCAATGGGTTTTAGAAGCTATGGAACATTTAATAAAATGTTTGCAGTTCTCCGTGTGACTCTTTAAGGGTGACTTGATATCTGCTAAATATATGTTGTATGTATTAGTGAAATAGGGAGAAAATGTATACCAATCTTTCTAACTTTGCTTATGTGAGAAAGGAAAGGAAGACTATTTACTTTCACTTTATTTGCAGACCTTTAGGTTAGTGAGTATGTATTCCTTTTCTATATTTCAGTGGGTATGTATTACTTTTCTGTTTTTTTGTTGTTTTTTTTTTTTTTTTAGAAAAAATGGCATTTACTTAAAATCTCAATAGGCAATTAAAACTTAATTTTTAAGAAACTTTTAAACCTAGAGAAAATTACAAGAATAGTACCATCAACCTATTGTATCCTTCCCCTAGACCAGCGGTTCTCAACCTCTGGGTCACGATCCCTCTGGGGGTCGAACAGTCCTTTCATGGGGGTCGCCTAAATACATCCTACATATCACATATTTACATTACGATTTATAACAGCAAAATTACAGTTATGGTAACGAAAATAATTTTATAGTTGGGGGTCACCACAACATGAGGAACTATATTAAAAGGTCGCAGCATTGGGAAGGTTGAAAACCACTGTCCTAGACTCACCCTTTAGTAGCAGTTTGCAAATGCTTTATCTCTGGTTGTTATTGATTTATACGCATTCATATTTAGTTACTTTTGCTAAACTGTGAGTGTAAATTACAGGTGCTATGTACCTTTATCCCTGAATGCTTCAGGAATTAAGAATACAACATA